GGGTAGGACGTCAGATATGACGTGAGCGCACCTAGCTTGTCCCCCTCCCCCTCCCTCTTTCCCTCCCTCCCTCCCTCCCTCCTGCCTCCTCCCTCCTGCCTCCCTCCCTCCTCCCCTCCCTCCTGCCCTCCTCCCTCCTCCCCCCTCCCTCTTTCCCTCCCTCCCTCCCTCCTGCCTCCTCCCTCCTGCCTCCCTCCCTCCTCCCCCTTCCCTCCCTCCTCCCCCCTCGGCCTCCCACGAGCGACGGGCGCGCACCAGGTTCGCGTGCGCACCGCGGCGGCGCGCTCGCGCACCGCGGGGCTCTGGGCGGAACGCCGCCAGCGTTCCGTCGGGCATGTCCCTCTACAGAAGGAATGTTCAGACATAGTAAGTAACAAAATAGTCCGGAGACGATTTTTCTACTTTTCAAAACATTGGCGCATTCTTTTTTGTTTTTCGTCCAACATCCGCCTGTGGGAGGACATGCCCGACCTAACGCCAGTGGGCGTGGTGGCCCTGGAGCGCTTTGCAGAGAATCTACTTGATATTGCAAAAGTGCGCGTGCGATTCGGGCACGTGTTTCGCGTTCGGCCGGGGGCCAACAGCCAAGAGTTTATCGAGTGGGCGCGCCCCGACCTCAAGCTGCTCTTCGAAGAAATGGTGAGGGGTAGGGGGGAGGGGGGGAGAGCGGAGGGGGAGTCCCGCGACCAGCCGACGTCGGATGCTTTTGACGTCGATTGGGGGTCTGAGGTGGCCTGGCACTTGGTCCGGCCAGCAGGACGGGTGGGGGGGGGTTGCCAGGTTCGGTATTCGGGGTTCCGGGAGTTTTTTGTTTTGTGTCTTTCTGTTGGTTCTGTTGGTTGCCCTTTTGAGCCCCAGGGGGCCGCTTTCGGGCCTGGAGACCGTCAAAAACGGATCCAGGGTGAGCACACTTGCACCAGGTGGGCCCCGGGACGGGGTCTGGGGGCAGATGTTGAGCGGATTTGGCTTCATTTCTTCCTCTTGGCCGATTGTCTCGGGGCTTGACCGGCTCAGACCCCCCGGTCGTTTTCAAGAATGCTTTGCGTCATCGGACAGCCGCAATCGTTCCAGGCCCAACGATCCATTCGGTGTCAGAGAGGGGCGCCGACGGCATCGCGACGTGAACCTGCCGAAGCTGTTGGAATTTCTGAGGGCGACCGTGCGCGGCGCCGAGGCGTTATGGAGGAGGAGGAGGCGGAGGAGGAGGAGGAGGAGGAGGAGGAGGAGGAGGAGGAGGAGGAGGAGGAGGAGGAGGAGGAGGAAGTGGAGGATGAGGAAAACGCGAACAAGCATGTGGTTCACGTTGGGCAACTCAAAAATGAAGGAGGAGGGAGGAGGAGGAGGAGGAGGAGGAGGAGGAAGAGGAGGAGGGAGGAGGAGGAGGAGGAGGAGGAGGAGAGGAGGAGGAGGAGGAGGAGGAGGAGGAGGAGGAGGAGGAGGAGGAGGAGGAGGAGGGGGAGGGATATGAGGAGGAGGAGGGAGGAGGAGGAGGAGGAGGAAAGGAGGAGGAGGAGGCGGAGGAGGAGACGGAGGAGGAGGAGGAGGAGGAGGAGGAGGAGGGAGGAAGAGGAGGAGGAGGAGGAGGAGGATGGAGGAGGGTGGGAGGGAGGGAGGGAGGGAGGGGAAGGAGGAGGGGAGGGGAGGAGAGGGGAGGGGGGGGAGGGGAGGGGATGGATGGAGGGAGGGAGGAGGAGAAGATGGGGAGGGAAGAGGGGCGAGGGCAGAGGGGGATGGACGAGGGGAGGAAAAGGGAGGGAGGGAGGGAGGGAGGGGGCGAGGGAGGGAGGGAGCGAGGGAGGGAGCGGAGGGGAGGGAGGGAGGGCGGGGGGGAGGGAGGAGGGAGGTAAGGGGGGGGGGGAGGGGAGGGAGGGGGGGAGGGAGGGAGGGAGGGAAGGGAGGGGAGGAGGGAGGGAGGAGGAAGGGGGGGGGGGGGGAGGAGGGAGGGAGGGGAGGGAGGGAGGAGGGGAGGGAGGGGGGAGGGAGGGGGTGGGGAGGGGGAGGGGGGGAGGGAGGGAGGGAGGGAGGAGGGAGAGAGGGAGGGAGGGAGGAGGAGGGGGGGGGAAGGGGAGGGAGGGAGGGAGGAGGAGGAGGAGGAGGATGGGGGAGGAGGAGGAAAGCCACCGTCCCCCCGTCCGTGTAGCTGCTGGAACCCCGAATGCTTCGGTTCACGAGTTGCGAGGACATCTCAGGCGAAACGCCCAGACCGCTCCATTAGTTGACACTTCGGGTGGTGCGACGAGGACGAGGTCCTTTCAAGAAAGTGGGATGGAGGAGAGGTAAGGAGGAGGGGGGAGGAGGAAGAGGATTGAGAAGCAGATGGTGGAGGGCAGGTTGGGGAGGAGGAGGTATGGCGCTGTGGCAGAACGTGGTTCCCGGTTGCTAGCCTGGCCGCTCACCACCACCACTTGGGCGAAATACATCCCCGACTTTGGCGGGTGCCCACGCCCAGGACGATACGGTGTCTCGAGCCCTTTCCAGGTGGGCTGCTGGCAGGGGTCGTGGATCCGTCTGATGCTGCTCACAGCGAATCACCCGCAGCTCGAGCAAAAAGACCACGCCATAGAGTCGGCTTTACATGACTCATGGCACTGCGAGGCAACAGGTCCCACGGCAGCCACCCCATCTTCCTCAGGAGGATGCGCAAACTCAGAGACTTGCTAGCCACGCAAGGGCCTGGCCAAAACGCAGACAACACACTTCGTTTTGAGAAATGGGCAGAACCGATACTACACTTCATCAGGGTACGGCGCTGCACAGGCGCATCCCCAGCAGAGACCACACGCTCCAGACGTATTTGGGCACTGCTGCGCGCGTTCCTCGCTCGGACATGCTCATGCCCAATCCTTTTATCGCACTCTTTCACGGGGGCAGGTGGTACAAAATTCACGCTGAATACACAAGCCTGTTCAGAACATCGGTGCACACTTTATTATTCAGGTGTGTGATGGCAGCTTTTTCATCGGGGATGGCAGCAAGGCGAGCCGCCTCCTGAGCACAGGCATCAGTAGCTCCATTCAGGAGCCGCTCGATAGTGGTTAAATGAAGGGCGCTGACTTGGGTTCCGGTGGGGGGTGACTTTGGGTTCACCTGCACCCTGCCTTCTCACCAAGACGTCCCAAAGTCGAGCTCACAGGTCCAGCATGTCAGACTTCATGAGGGCCTCGGGAGGCTTCCAATACTTCGATATCATAAGACGACTCTCCCAGAAGTATACTGCAACACGTATCTCGGGGCCAACAGCTCGGCTCTGCCCACATCACCATAGGCAGCCGGCCGAGCAGCGTGCGCACCCCGCCCTCCGCGCGGACGCCACACCTCTGCGGCGGCAGCGCGGCGCCCTCCGACGGCTGGGGCCCTGGGGCCCCCCGCGGGCGGCCGACGGAGCCAGCGCGCCGACTGCCCCGTGCTCCCGCCCCGCCGCCGCCTCCGCTCCCACCGCCGCCCCTCGGGCAGCTCCACGGCCACGACCCCGCTCTGCCCCGCAGGCCTGCTGCGGCCACGGGCGCGCGGCCCGCCAGCAGCCGCAGGGCAGCTCCGCGCGCTGGCGCTGCCGGCGCCTCCCCCGCGCCGCCGCCGCCAGCCCCTGGTCGCGCCTTGCCGGCATGCCTCCGCCGCCCCCCAGGGCGCGCTGCGCGCCCCAGCCCTGCTCGCGCGCCGGCCCCCCCCCCCCCCCCGCCCTGCTCGAGCGCCGCCTGGCCGCGCAGGTTGCTTCCATGAGGGCAGGCGGCACGGTGTCCCCCTCCTTCGCCGGCGGCGGAGGCAGCAGCGCGCCGCCTGCGAAGACGCCGCGCCCAACGATTTCTCTGCTGTCGCTCCCGGCGAATTTCGCGACAGCACGCCCGGTGAGATGCTCGCCCTTGCTGCAAGGGCTCCCACGAGGGCGCGAAGTTCGTCGAGCTTCGCGCCCCGCGCGCCTCACTCCTCCTCTTTCTCCTCCTCGGCCTCCTCCTCTCCCCTTTGGGGGCGGCGCGAGACTCGCGCGACGCTGTTCGCGCTTCGCGCTCCGCGCAGCGCGGAGCGCGAAGCTGGGAGCCCTTGTGCTGCCTCGCCTGCTCTCTCGCGCGCGCGTTCGCCGGTGCCGGGCGGCGGAGCCGCCGCCTCCCGGGGTGCGACCCGCCTCGCGCCCTGGGGGGGGGGTCGGCCTGGTTCCTCCCTGCCTCTGCCTACGCTTACGTCGGGCCTGTCCCTCGACAGGAGGGATATTCAAAAATAGTCAAAAATAGTAGTCAGGGGACTATTTTTGGACTATGTTTGGGCATCTTTTGGAGTTTTTCTTGAGTACTTTTCATTTTTACTCAAAAATCCCCCTGTAGGGGGACAGGCCCGACTTAAGCCTACGCCTTCTCGCCCCCCCTGGTCTCCTTTCTTTCAGGAGGGAAAAAACACACAGACACAATAAAATCGTCGATTCCCAGAAGAGATGGGAAACTGTGGGAAGTGGGGGGGAAGACGAAAATCCAGAACATGTGGGGAAATATGGGGAATCCTGTTATTTGTGTGAATTTATTTGTGTGTCCTGGGGCCCCTTCATTCTTGTCGCCCCCTAGCCTGCATTTGGACCTCACTGGTTTCTTTTCCTTCGTCCTCGGCTGTCTGCCGCGGTCTTTGCCCCCCTCCTTCGCCCGTGTGCCGGGCCGCTCTTCGCTGTCCTTGTCCTCATGCCGCCGTGGGGCAGCCTCGCTGGTGTGCAATTGTCCTCGTTCTCCATGCCCGGACAGCTGATGGCGTTCTCTTGCTCCCATGCGGCCGTGGTGAGCCTCCCCCAAGGTCTTGCGTGTTCCCTCCCTGCCATATGTCCAGATGCCCGATGCCGCTATGGTCAAATTTAAACCGATGTTGAGGGCCTGGCCGCCGCGCGCAATGTGCTGGCTGTTGCATTTTCTTTGGCTCATCGCTGCGCTCGAGGCCGCTACCGCCAACTGAAATGCTTGTGTGCCTTTTTCTCGTCCCCTCATCCTCGCTTCTTTTTTGTTTGTGACGGTGGTTGTCTGGCTGGGTGGCCAACTCGCCGCGCTCGTTTGCCCTTACATTGGCACGGTGGATTGACTTTGTTCACCTTTGTCCGTCCTTACAGGTTTTGAGATGCGTCAGTTGGTATGTTTGCTGGCAGGTTGTGCGTGCTAGGCTTGTTTGTTCATGCACCTCGTTTCTGGTGCTTGAAGCATTTGGTGCGTCCGATGACGCAGCTTCTTTGGTACGCCGTGGAGTGCGTTGCCACGCGTCGTTGGCCCTACTTCACCCATCATCGTGGTCGCTTTGCGTTGCTGGTCTGTAGGTCGACACCTATCTGCCTCGCAGAACTTTGGGTCGACCACACCACCAATCTGCCTAGCAACATTCATTTCTTTGTGCTTCACTGTCTAACATCGTTCTGGTGATTCAGTGGCCGCAATTAGCCCCTGGCTGTCGCGTTTCAGTTAAGTTTAAGTTGAGTGTTGTTTTCGTTTTCTGGCCGCTGCAGGTTACTTTTGGATTTACAGTTCTAACACACCCACCGCTTGCATGGTGTACGCTGCGCCCTCGACAGTGCTCGATCGCAATTCGCACTTCATCTGCTGCTCGCTCTTGAGGACCCTCTGCGCCGAAGGCCTAAAAAGTGTGTGTATGCGTGTGTGTGTGTATGTGTGTGTGTGTGTGTGCGTGTGTGTGTGTGTGTGTGTGCCTGCCCGGGCCGCTCCATCAGGGACCGCCCCTCGGCCGCCGCCGTTTCCGGCGCGCCGCCCGGCCGTGCTGGGCGTGCGACCTTCGGCACTGCCGCCTTCAGCTCGCTCTTCGCCGTCGCTCCTTGATGCTCTCCCCCGTCGGTCCACATTCCCCGCCTTCCAGTCCTGTGCAGTCCTGGTTTGCTCATGTCACCTCCCACCTACACCGTAGTTTCGTCTGGGTATGCCCTTCCCCGTCATCTAGGCCCGTATGGTTGTGGCTGCTGCCGGGCGCTGCGGGACCCTGAGGGTATCGGAGAGCGTACCCGCCTTCGTGCTCGGTTCTTTCTCTTTCCATCTCGCGTTCGGTGTTGTGGCGTTCATGTCATCGTTTTTTTTTTTGTGTGTGTGTGTGTTTGTGACTGTGCGTGGTGCTCGCCGTGCTTTCGTCCCTCCTCTTTCTCGCTTCCGTGGTCAGCGCGGGGCCCGCCCTGTCCTGCTCGACCCGCCTGGCCCGAGAGGCACAGTATGTCCTGGCCTGGCAGAGCGGCACGATCATGATGATGGTGGGAATGTTGATGGGGAGGATGCGGACGGGGATGAGGATGATGGTGGTGATGGTGATGAGGATGCACTTGTTGATGATGATGACGGTTATGATGATGGAGATGACGGCTGTGATGATCATGGCGGTGCCGATGACATTGATGGTGATGGTCATGGTGGTGGTGATGGTGGCGGTGGTGATGCCGATGCTGCAGATGATGATGCTGCTGATGATGATGAGGACGATGATGATGGTGGTGATGGTGAGGGTGATGGTGGTGATGATGCTGCTGATGATGATGATGTTGATGGTGATGGTGATGTTTATGAAGATGATGGTGATGATGATGTTGATGACGCTGATGCTGCTGCTGCTGATGATGATGATGATGATGCGGCTGTTTTTGGTGATGCTGCTGATGCTGCTGATGATGATGATGATGTTGGTGATGGTGATGGTGATGCTGGTGTTGATGGTGATGATGAAGATGATGATGATGGTGGTGATGAGGATGAGGGTGATTATGATGACGATGATGGTGCTGACGATGGTAGTGATGATGATAGGGATGATGATGATGCTGATGATGATGACGATGCTGATCATGATGATGATGCCGATGATGTGGATGCTGTTGATGATGCTGTTGATGATACTGATGATGATGCTGATCGGATGGTGGTGGTGGTTATGATGATGCTGATGCTGATGCTGATGATGTCGGTGTTGATGATGATGATGATGATGCTGATGCTGATGATGATGATGAGGATAATGCTGCTGATGATGATGTTGACGATTATGATGTTGAGGATGCTGATGATGACGATGATGATGACGATGATGATGAAGATGATGAAGATGATGATGATGCTGATGATGTTGATGATGATTCTGTTGCTGCTGCTTATAATGATGATGCGGATGGTACTGATGATGATGATGATGCTGATGCTGTTCATGATGACGATGATGATGATGACGATGATGCTGCTGATGATGATGATGATGGTGCTGCTGCTGATGATGATGATGATGATGCTGATGATGATGATGATGGTGATGATGATGATGATGATGATGATGATGATGATGATGACGATGATGATGATGATGATGTTGATGATGATGATGATGATGATGATGATGATGATGATGATGATGATGATCATGGTGGTGGTGGTGGTGGTGGTGGTTGTGGTGGTGGTGGTGGTGGTGATGGTGGAAGTGGTGGAGGAGGAGGCGGAGGCGGAGGCGGAGGCGAGGCGGGGGGGGGAGATGATGAGGAGGAAGAGGAGGATGAGGAGGAGGAGGAGGAGGAGGGAGGAGAAGGAGGAGGAGGAGGAGGAAGAGGAGGAGGAGGAGAGGAGGAGGAGGAGGAGGAGGATGAGGAGGAGGAGGAGGAGGAGGAGGAGAGGAGGAGGAGGAGAGGAGGAGGAGGAGGAGAGAGGAGGAGAGGAGGAGAGGAGGAGGAGGAGGAGGAGGAGGAGGATTGGAGGAGGAGGGGGAGGAGGAGGATGAGGAGGAGGAGGAGGAGGAGGAGGAGGAGGAGGAGGAGAGGAGGAGGAGGAGGAGGGGGAGGGGGAGGAGGAGGCGGAGGAGGAGGAGGAGGAGGAGGACGAGGAGGAGGAGGAGGATCAGGAGGAGGAAGAGGAGGCAGAGAAAGAAGATGAATAACAACACTACTAGTATTAAGAACAGTATTAGTAATCAGACGAAGCATATCAAGCAGAAAAGCAATACTTCTAACAATGATAAGAAGACGAGTGAGGCGAACACTAATAATACTACGAAGAAGAATGCTATTTACATTGATAACAAAAGCATACCAATACCAAGACGAACACTAATGCTACGATTACGATCAATTCAAGAATAATGCTACGACTGCTAAGAACAACACTGCGAATAACAATGCGAAGGAACACACTATTTACAATCATAACATTAAGAGTAGTAGCAGTTATAATAATACACATAATTCCCGGAAAATGGTTTATATGACTAATGAGATTAATACGGATAATATGAAGAATGAGAGTAGTAACACGAATGATGATAATAAGAAAAGCACCATCAATAATAACACGACGAAGAACAACATGAATAAGACTAACATTATTCAGAATAATAGTCATAGTAAAAGTACTGATCATACAATTAATATGCAGAAGGAGACGAATAATAATAATCATAATAGCAGTAAGAATAATCATACGAATAAGAAGAATACTAATAAGAAGAGGAGGAGGAGGAGGAAGAGGAGAGAGCAGGAGGAAGTGGAGAAGGAACACGAGGAGGAGGAAGAGGAGGAGGATGAGGAGAAGGATGAGGAAGAGAAGAAGGAGGAGGAGGAGGAGGAGGACGAGGACGAGGGAGGAGGAGGAGGAGGAGGAGGAGGGGAGGAGGAGGAGGAGGAAGGAGGAGGAGGAGGAGGGAGGAAAAGGGGGGCGAGGCGAGGCGAGGCGAGGCGAGGCGAGGAAACGAATGTGGTGGTTGGGCACAGGCCGTGGAGGCGGAGTCCCGGCGCCTCGACCAGGAGCGGTGGGCCAAGACAACGTGCCCCGCTGCGGCTCTCCTTGCCCCCTCCTCTCTCCTCCTCCCTCCTTCTCCTTCTGCTTTCGTCGTCGTCGTCCTCCTCCTCCTCCTCCTCCTCCTCCCGCGCGTTTCCGCGCAAGCGGGAACTTGCCCTCCTGTTTCCTCCTTCTTCTTCCTCTTCTCCTCCTCTGCCTCGTCTTCTTGCTCTTTCTCCTCCCCCTCATCCCCCTTTGGCTCGAGATCCGCTCAGGCAATATGTACACTGTGCACTCGTTTCGTGAACCTGACTTTTCCTTGGCTTTCAAATGCGCATGCACATGAAGGAGTGGTAAACCCTGAACGCTATCGAGCACGTGGGTTCATTTCTGAATGACAAGCGGTCTAAGAAGGAATGCCACCGTGAAGATGTCTCCTACGATGCTGATCAGCTGCCGAAGAAGCATCGGGATGATGAGGACCACATGAGCGACGCTGATGAGAAGGACGCGGCGGAAACCGCGGATAATGACATGAACAAAATTAACTAAGGGATGAAGACAATTATTAGCCTGATGAAGGCTAAGAGGACGGAAATTCATGATATGAGGGAGGATATGGGGGAGGCAAAGGCCTTGACCCGACGAACGGGATCGTTTGCAGACAATGCATGTCAATCGGTGGAGATGGCGAGAGACGTCGCGCCAGCTTTGTGCGCGGCACGCAGGTACTCCGCGATTGCATGTTGCACGTTTCCCTTCTATGTTGCCGAGGGGGGTATGCACTGCAGTCGCTATTCGTTGCTCTCCATCGCTCGCCTCGCCCTCTGCTCCTCGCTCTCTTCCTTCTCTTCCCGTCGCTTCACCACACCAGGACACTGTTGCACAGGCAGCGCGCTTCTTTCAAAGTTTTGTGTGCAGGACTGGTACCACTGGCGTGCACTCGACAAATCGGCCGTCGCCGAGCGTACCGGGAACCGTACGACCCCCTGGGGTCGCGCTGAAGTGGCACTGTGTTGCTGCGCTGGCGTTGTTGTCGCGCAAAAGACACCTCAATCAGTACGGCCAGTAAGGTGGAGGCCCATGCCAAGATACACCCTGCTTGCCTCCATGGTGCCCTCGGTTTCTTGAGTATCGATGGTTCTGCTATGGAAAGCGTGACTCTCTCACACCAAAGATCAATTGACGTCCTGGGGTCTCAGGATCGTTTTTTTTGTGGAAGGCCCTAATTCTAAGGGAGCACTTGGCTACCATAGTAGCTAAAATTAAGACCGAAGGGAAACTTCCAAATATGGTTCGTAGCATCGTATCAGTAGAAGGACCAAGAAGCATCCCAGGGCCATCGCGCACATGGGGGAATGTACATAGTAAGAAGATTGGAGCACATATACGCGCTTCAATATACGTTGTATGAATAACCCTTGATCGGATCGAAAACGTACGGTGTATGATTTTGGCAAGTTTTCTGTACGGTACGCAGTGCGCCTCAAAGCTCAGGCGTCCATTTGGGTGTCAATGCAAATACTCGCTGGCAGCACCATTCTGAAGTTTGAATGGTTTATGCGAATCCAGATTCAATGTTTGACCTGGCCCCGAAGAAGTCGAAGGGCGTCCGGAAATGGATGTGGTTGGTTATTGAGAGAGTACTGAAGGAGTTGCCCATCAGATCAATGAAGCTATTGCCGCCAGCGAGCCTAAAGGCGTGGTGTTGTAGTGGACCAGCGATTGGCCGAATGGCCGTAAGTAGATGGGAATGCGAAATTTCTCGGCGGCGGCCGCGTACCACGAATGTTTTGACCAGTTGATGTGTCCGGACTGGCACGAACGTTGCGAATAGTATTCGGAGAGGGAGTGGGGGGCAGGGCGGTGGCAGGGAGAGGCTTGCGAGCTTGTGCGCGCAGACGGGGACGTGCCACACTGCACGTTGGTGGCCATTTTGGAAGAGGACTTGGAGGACGAAGACGTGTTTTTTTGTTAGTTCCATCTGATCTCTTGTAGTGCCTGTGGCATGCAGGAAGGAACGATTGACCATTCGGTGAGCACGGTTGGAGAACACCTGCATTGGGATACCATTTTGTTTCAGGCTGGTCCATGTTCAATATGTACATTCCAACGCCAAGCGGACACGGCATGTTCTCAAGAGTGTTCCCGGAGTGGAACAGAAAGACAATCAGGCTGGTGCGCGGGCAGCGGATGGACGGATACGTTTTTGTATGCTTGCATGCCTTAGCGAATCCGTTGGTGCATTCAAAAGCCTGGCTGGTTAGTGCGCGCTTTCCGCGCAGTGCACGCCAAGAGGCGTCCGCGGTGTCAGGTTGGAGTCAGAGATTCCCGCGTTGTGGTTCGTTCGCGGCGTGGCTTCGCGGCAAGGGGCGACGAGTTGGCACGACTATTGGTGGTAGTCCCGTGGGCCCTCAAGCAGTGGCGCGCCGAATCGTTGGGGCAACTCGATTTTTCTCTGGCGGGTGACGTACAGCTGGGAGATTGTGCATGACTTGGACGGACGTCTGACTGCGGACCATTCATTGCGCCTTTTGCGCTTTCTACCAAGCCAGGGCGCCCAAGAACAGAGCGGCGAATGAAGGTAAAACGGAATGCCAGAGTTGATGGCGACGGTGCGGTGCATTTTCTCCAGGCGAAGCTGGATGCACTCAAGGGGCGAGCGGACGTCCCGCGCCCGTGCTTGTGGAGGCGGGTCGCGACGCGGGAAAGGGGCCAGCAGAGGATCACGGTTGAACGTCTGCATTGCGATGGTGTCGCCAGTTTGACAGAGAGGTGCCGGGTCGAATCGAGCCCAGAGAGTGGGCGAGCAGTTTCGAACAGATTGCGCAGAGCATTGGCGAGGGAACAGGGACGGGATCAACAGGGTGATATTGACGAGTTGTTTGTGAGGGGCGCGAGCGCTGCGCGCGTCGGAGGTTAGGAGACGAACGCGAAGCGTGGCGCTGGATTAAAGGGCCGGCGTCTCTTGATGACGGATCGCTCAGGGCTCTCGCGAAGAATATTTGACTTCTGGCCAGGGGTATTGGAGGCGGGGAATGTTGCCGCCATAAACGCCGACTCTAACGTAATTTCAGGTTTTTTTCCAACTAGAGGATTCGACCGTGCCGAAGCACTGCCGTCCGATTGCCGTGTTATCTGTGGCGTCCGCATCAGCTGGCGCAGTTTCGTGCAGTCGGATAGCGCATGTCATTGATAGGCATTTTGGGCGCAGTTGGGATTCAGACTGGGGGGGCGGGTGTGCGGATGCTGCGCGTTGCGTGTGCGATTGTGGAGGAGATGGGACATGCGTGGCTGTGCTGGGAGTTGAAGCGGCATTCGACACAACTCACCACGCATCACTGCAGTTCGGAATTTATCTGCTGTGATTGGCGCAATCCGCGTCTCGCGTTTGGCTTCGCCCTGAGGAGAGGCGGCAGTTTTCAGTGCTTGCGCTGTAGGCCGTGTATCGCTGAGCGAATTTGCTCTCCCGCGCGTTTATTTGCTCTCCTGCGTTTTTTGGGGCGGCGTCGCCTGTGCGACCGGCGGCGGCGCCGACGTGGCGAGGGGATTTGCGCGCGCTGATCGCTTTTCCGACGGAGGTGCGGCGCGCGAGCGGCGTTGCGCGCGGGAATGAATTAATGCGATTTGTTTGTAGTAGAGCGCGGCAGCCCAGCGGCGGTTGCCACCGCGTTCGAGGCCGAGTGCCGCGGGATGGAGGCGTGAGGAGGGGTAGGTGAAAGAGGGGTGGGGTGAAGGAGGGGTAGGGTGAGGATGGTTGTCGAGTAGGTGAAGGAGGGGTGGGGTGGCGTGAGTGGCCTGGGGAGGGGCGGGGGGGGGGGAGGCGGGCGCGGTTTCGGGTTGGCGGGGGCCGGGGGGGGGGGGCGCGTGGGAAGGGGGGCAGGTCCCGTCGTGTTCTGCCGCGGCTCGGCACTGGGCCAAGTTCTTTCTGTGTGGTCGGCGCGTGATCATGTCCGCGCGCTGGCTTGCGCGCGCGCGCCGCCGTTTGGGGGCGCTGGACAGGCCCCCTCGGGGGTCGTCAGGGGCGCGCGCGGTCGTCGAGAGGGCGTCGCGTGGCGGGGCTCCCGCCGGGCACACTGCGGGGCGCGCGCGGCCATCGGGCCTGCGGCGAACGGATGGGTTCCCCCCGTGGCCGACGCGGGGGGGCGCCCGCAGTCTTCGGGCGCGGGGCGTCGGGCCATGTGCTTCCAGCAGGGGTCGTCTAGGGTGCGCGCGGCCATCGGGCCTGCTCTGCGGGGGGCGCGCGGCCCCAGCGCCGTGTCAAGTCCGAGCCAATGTTAGTGAGGACCTGCCGTGGGAGATTTCCTTCTAGATGTTTTCGAGCAGCTTGAACTGTGATGTGCCCAGTGCTGTTTGCATCATGTGCTAAACTTCAGATGTTTCTGGCATCCGTCTTTCGCTCTTGCGATCGTCCTTCTTCGGCCTCCATGCCCTGTCTCGGGCTTCCGCCCACCCGCCTTTTGGGGGGGAGGGTGTCTCTCTGTTCGTGTTTAGACCAATACGTAGTAGCTACGGCGTTTCGACTCATCCGCCAGGTTCATTTTGCCGAGGGATGAAACAAGTGATCTGCTCAACTACTTCCGTCCTGTTTCTTCGAAGCTTGCCTTGCACGCGTGCCCGAGGAGCTCGGCGCGATCCTTCGATCATCGGATTCTTGATCCGCGAGTCCCCGGGTCTTCGGATCCTCGGACTTTGGATGCGTCGGTTCGTCGACTCTTGAAGCCTCGATCCTCGAATCTTCGGCGGCCCGAGGAAGAGCTCGACACCCGAATGTGCCACGACGGGAGCGACGTTGGAGTGCCACCAGGCGCGACTGACCCAGGCTCCGATGACTTTGGCCATCTCCTCCTCCTCCTCCGCCTCCTCCTCCTCTTCCTCCTTTTCCTCCTCCTCCCTTTTCTCCTCCTCCTCCTCCTCCTCCTCCCTCTCCTCCTCCTCCTCCTCCTCCTCCTCCTCCTCCTCCCTCCTCCTCCTCCTCCTCCTCCTCCTCCCCCTCCCGCGAGCCCGCGAGGAATTCGACGCCGAGCGGAGCGGGCAGCGCGACCTCGAGGCCGAGGGTGCGGACCTCGCGAGGGAGGCCGAGGAGCTCCGGAGGGAGGCGGCCGACCTCGGGCAGCAGCTCCGGGCCGTGGAGCAGGCCGCAGTCGCGGCCGGCATCGAGCGCGAGGCTCTTGGGACGGATATGAGGAGAAGGAGGACGGTGATGATGATGCTGATGATGATGATGCTGATGATGATGACGACGATGGTGATGATGCTGATGATGATGCTGATGCTGATGATGATGATGCTGATGCTGCTGCTGCTGCTGCTTATTATGCTGGTAGTGATGATGATGATGATGGTGATGATGGTCACGAGGACGGCGATGATGATGAGGATGATGATGCTGATGATGATGCTGCTGATGCTGATGATGCTGACATCTGATGATGATGATGCTGATGATGCTGCTGATGATGATGCTGACGATGATCATGATGCTGATGATGATGCTGATGATGATGCTTCTGATGATGCTGATGCTGATGATGATGCTGCTGCTGATGATGGTGATGATGGTGATGATGGTGATGATGATGACGATGATGACGATGCTGTTGATGCTGAAATCTGATGATCATGCTGATGAAGCTGCTGATGATTCTGATGATGATGATGATGATGATTCTGCTGCTGATGATGATGCTGATGATGCTGATGATGCTGATGATGCTGATGATGCTGATGATGTTGATGATGATTGTGATGATGATGACGATGATGATGTTGATGATAATGCTGACGATGATGATGATGGTGATGATGCCGCTGATGATGATGCTGATGATGATGGTGCTGATGCTGATGCTGATGATGATGCTGCTGATGATGCCGATGCCGATGATGATGATACTGATGATGATGATGATGATGATGATGATGATGATGATGATGATGATGATGATGATGATGGCAGTGATGATGGAGATTATGATGATCATGCTGATGATGATCATGATGATGCCGCTGACGATGGCGATGCTGATTCTGACGATGAAGACGATGATGACAATGATGATGATGACGATGATGATGATGATGATGATCATGATGCTGATGGTGATGATGATGTTGATGATAAGGATGATGATGCTGATGATGATGATGATGATGATGATGATGATGATGATGCTGATGATCCTGCTGCTGATGATGATGATTCTGATGATGCTGATGATGATGTGATGATGATGGTGATGATAAGGATGATGATGATGAGGATCTGGATGGGGATGAGGACATGATGGTGATGATG